AGAGAGAAGAAGTATTCTTATTTACTGAATGAATAATTACAAAGGAGAGGCGTGTATATATATAGACACAAATAAGAAACCCAAACCCAAATAAGCAAAGGCCCGTACGGCCCAACAGAAACCCTAAACAGACATAATATTTACAATATATTCTAACATGGTTCAAGTAGTGGAGTACTTGAAGTTACATTGAAAATCTTTTATTGCAACTCTTTCTTTGTACTTATCAAGTGATGTTTGTAACACAACTTGAAAATTTTGGTGGTAGCGTTGTAGTGGTCTTGTGAAGTGGGGATTAGAGATGTAACGGACCTTTTTAATATATTGGTGCGATCCCCCAGGATTTTCTTTCTGTATATGTATTATCTTTTCTGATAGCCTTAATGCTCTTATATTATTTGCTAGAGGAAAATCTTTTCTCAACTTGTCACATGGATCCACAAGACTACATAAATGTTTTAGCCTTTTAGGCGGTAGCTATGTATATGGTGACATATATCTCTACCTTGTCTCTACATCAGTAGGTGCTTGAGACTACTACCCCTTTTGTTATTCAGATTCTTACGTCATCAGCTCAGTACAATACTCCGATTAATTTGGTGCCCTTGAAACGAGGCTCACTAATCTCATCTAGCCTTTGCTGCTGCTTGAAACTTCTAGTCCAATATTTCACTTCTGATTATGGTTTTAGACGTCAAATTCTAGGCACTAGTTTAGTCCAAGGTTGCATGGGGAGAGTATGAGCTAAGTAGCTAACCTATGCATGTCATTTTTCATCGAGTTTTGATATTAAGATACATTTATGTTTAATTCCAATCTATTCATGTTGTAAGATCATTTTAATAGCCTTTAAGCCATGCTAAAGGCCTCTTTAGAAAGTTTTGTTGATTCCTTATTCCTTATATTAGTTTTTCATACAATGAGCAGATATTTAACAGGAAAAGTACCTATAACATTTAACTCCCTGAAATCATTATTTCTTCCTTCTCTTCTCTATCCTCTATTCTTTCTTATTCTATGCTCTACATCATCTCTCTTGAATTGCTGCTTTTAAAGTGATTTTACATCCTTGAAATTTGAGGCATTGCATGTGATTATATTTTTACGTGTTACCAGGTTCATTAATGGTTATAGTCTTGCTTATAGGACAATTCTAGAAGGAACACACTTAACTTTCTGCCCCTTTATAGGCTTGTACCTAGTTTGAACCTTGTGGGGTTTAATTTAGATTCTATGAACTGCTATATGTTCCGTAAAAAGACAACACAAACATTTTTCTCTAAACGAGTCGAATAAGTTATAAAATGTACTAGTAGAATGTTAGGGACAAAACCAAGCCTAAACTGTCTCCATAACATAAATCACATTTCTCTTGTGATTCTTTTCAAAATCAAGATGTTTGTTCTGCTTACATTATGTGGCTGCCGAACGTGACAAGGGTTGCAACAGACATTGCAGGTTGTGCTAAAAATTCGGCTTTTAGAAATTAACCTAATTTGTTAAGGCTGTAAAAGTTCATGTCCAATGCTCATTTCATTTGTCTCCACCAGATGAATAATGCAGGGATCTTATCAAGTAAAGTTTATGATCTACAACTACTATCATGCAACATAGAACGTCTTGTTTTTGGACAACATTAAACCGATGATTTTATGTGAATATTTCAAACCAGCTAAGAGACATGAGACCATATGAAGATGGTGAGATCTCTTCCTGAACAAGGTGGTTAAACCTGATGTCAAAGAAGCCATTTTTGACATCTAATGTGTTAAGGAGGCAATGTAGGTGCACCCAAGGCGCAAACACATCCATGGGCGCACCTGGTGTGAGTTTTGTTGATTAATACAGTGCATGTATGCAACTTAGGATTAAAATATATTCAAATTTACTTGATCAGATATTAATAGGAAGGAGGAGGGGACACACTTTTTAGCCTTTCCGAATGAGACTTGAATAGATCCGACAATAGTGGTTTAACATAGTAGACTGATTATCCAAGCGTGTATTCTGTCATCCTTTGTGTTTGTTGATTTTGAGCTCTTTTTGTTTCTAATTTTAGGACCTTTTTACTGTTCTATTTCTATCTTTCGTTTAGCCATTTTCCTTTCTATTTTTTTTTCGCGTCATGAATAGAATCAAGCAAGAAAGAGTCTTATTTTGACCGGTCATAAGATTAATATTGGAAATTTTGATTAGAATAAACCAACCACAAAGTGTTGGTTGCTAAAGTAATTTGATTTCATCTAGATGGTAATGAAATCATAGAGAAGACGTAGGTATGAAATGTGGGATTTCATGTTGTTTCCGTGTAGTAATTCAGACTGTCCCAAAAAGTAGTTTTGTTCGGAATGAGAGAAGTTGGAGCTACAATTCTATGGTAGGGAACAAGTATAATAGTGTTCTCCAACGACTTCAGGACTACATATAGGATTTGCTTCTTTTCACCATTTTGATCGAGTAATGTACAAACCAGCTAAACCCATTCGAGATATGTTATCATTCATTTGATTCATGATTGTGGTATTCCTCACCATGTATTGCCTTGTACAATTTCTTGCTGTTTAAGCTGCTCCTTGAATGGGACGACTTTGCCCATACCCGTCTCTAATTCTTTTTTCCGTTATTAAATTATTTTAGAAACAAAACTTTGAGATTGTAGACCTCATTTGTTCATTACCTATACCCCAAGTTTATTTTCCTCTTCTTTTCCTTGTTTCACATTGGAGTTTTGAATAAAATGGTAGTTATAATCGAACTAATTATAAGCTCTACTAACTGCTCAGAATTGGTAATATTTGACCACATTGTCTTGTTTGGTACCAAATCTGAAATTTGATCATTTCATAAGTTATGCAAAGACCTTGTCTGATGTTTGGTTCATGAAGCTTTTGGGAATCATTTTATTATAGTTAAATATGAAAGTATGGTCTCCTAGAGACCAGTTACACTTGCAATCTTCAAGGATATATATATATATATATATATATATATATATATATATATATATACTGGGATATTATCATGATATTTTGCTTCTAAGGGTCTTCACGGAAACAACCACTCTATTTTTTGAGTTAGAAATCCAGTTCACGTATATCCCACCCCAGACCGCATTCTAGGTGGGGCATATTGGGTTTGTTTGGTTTTTATCATCATGACCTCATGATTCTTGTAGCATTTGGATATACATGATATGGCAGTTAGCATCTAAGAACCCTCAGTTTTCTTATATCTCTTTTCTGTTTTGCAGATTTTCAAGTTACAGCAAAGGATTCAATTGCTTCAGGCTGGAAAAGCCAAGGCTTAATTTGCATTATTACAAGTATGCATTTGGTTATCCAGTATGTTGGTTGTTTTCAGATGTAACTTCTTTTTCGCTTTAAACTGCGATTGTTTTTGCTCGTAATATGCATATTAGAAATTGGTTCCATCTTTGTTATCATGTAAAATGCAGAGAATGGTTACATGTAGGTGATTGATAGGATATTTGCGTAATCATATTTGGAATCGTACGATGTTATTTTTGGTTTAATTTTAAAGCAATGAGTGAAAATGGTTGAAGCAGGTAAGTCATGGAAAGCAAACAAACTAAGTTCATGTATTTAACACTTTGTATGATGCATCTCTTCTACTTTGAGTTGCAACATCAAGCATGGAAAGGGTGTTGTACTGTCGACTATGTTATGCATGTATGTGATAAGTTTCCGAAGCGTATTGAACCACTACACAACGAATTCCAAATTATGCAAGCCGAAGGTATTCATAAAATCAGTCACTATGATTTAATGAAGATGATAGATCTGCATATACAAAGAGTCCTGAGGTTTCAGATGCTCAATGGCAAAAAATGTCTGTAATATATTAATAAAAAAAAGCCTATACGATTTTAAAGTGTTTGGAACCTAGTTAAGCTAAGCTGTCCAATTTTATTAAACATAATAAGTTGATGCAACATTGTGTAGGTAACTCTCAGATTGTATACACCACTAAAATGTTTTCCTTTAAAACTGTTGGATGAATTGGGATTTATTGGTTTTGAAATGGTGGTGAAGGAAGCATAATGGGTACGTATTTATTCTTTTCTCTATTATGGATATAATCCAAACAACAATCTACTAAAAATTATAAATTGTTAAGAGCTGGCTTTTGACAAAAAGTTAGCATAGCTTGAATGGTAACAAATTTAGGCATGCGTCCCAACGGAGCCGGGATTCCCTGTAAAACTGGGGACTGAGATTTCCCAAAAGTTAAGAACCGGGGATGGACGGGGTCGAGTAATGTGATCCTCGACCTGCTCCGTACCTGTATATAAAATATATTATTTATTATTAAATATATTATTTATAGAGAATTAGATTTAGAAAGAGTATTTCGACATTTCTTCTTATATACATTTTTTCCGACTTATCTTACCTTTTTAGATAACAAACATGGAGAACCGAAAACATTTATCAAATAATTACGTATGATGTGATTTTCTTCACATATGAATTTAATACTCCATAAAAGCAAAATTTCAAAAATATGTAAGATTTAAACATGAACATTTTCGATCGAGTGTGGTCATTTAATCTAAAATGTCTCATGTTAACGGAAAAAAGAAATCCCCGATTCCCTGATGGGAAAAGGAAGGGATGGGATGGGATGTGATCATATTCTCTAGAGGAGACAGGGACAGACCTATTCTTTGGGGGTATGGTTGTCTGTGAAATTATAAACATACAAAGAGTGTAAAGTTTTCAAAAGATCATTACAAGATATTACAAAAACTAATATAGGTTTATAATTGTTCTTAATTTGTTGGGCTAACAAGTTTGTGGTTCCCGGTAATTAACAAGTTTAATATACAAATTTACATCAAAATGAAACATGTTTTTATGAATTCCTATTTTAGGAACATAACCTCAGTTTTGGTAAACATAATTTCTTTAATGGAAAATATTATAACTTAGTGAAAAAAAAAAAGAACCTATTTACAATTTTGGAAACAAATTTTATATTAAATTTATAGTTTGAGATGTTTCTCGTATACATCAAAATAAGACCTTTGAAAGTTGGTTTCTAAAATAGTAACCGGATCAAATTACATTCCATTTTGCCCTTATATAAAAGCTTACTGGCTGTCTATCAAACGCTTACCACACAAGAGTCATTATTTCACTTATCTTATCAGGTAATATATTCTTGGCCATCAAAGTGAATTGTTGTTCACCATCTTTTACCAAGTGCTAACCAGGTGAGAGCCTTTTCCCTTATTTACCGGATAAAATTATCAATCCTTACCATGCTCACTCCGTGAGGTAAAATGACACCTATTAAACGTTTGGTAAACGACAAACCGATAGAATGATTTCACATAGCAATCATTGTCCAACGTTCATAGATCCATGACAATGTAAGAAGAGAAGAAAAGAAAAGAGAGTTTTACTTGAGAAAATAGCACAAGAGTTCACAGATTAACTGATCCTGAACAACCACCATGGATTTTTGCTTCCTCTTTGCAACCATTAAACTTCTATAAGGTTTCTAAGTCCCGTTATTCTGATAACCGCAGGTGAAAAAGATGCTGCATATATATTTCAGATTGAACTCTTCACCTTGTATAACTCTGCGGTTTCAACGACCTGCCTCAACGCTTCTGCGCCCAAATGCACCAGAACCTATGCAACAATGTATTACTCCCTCAGTCCCACAACAACTTTCCACAATTCTATTTTAGTTTGTCCAAGAACAAATGTCCACTATGTCAAAAGTGTCTACTTTCCGGTTATACCCTTAATTATGAGATGGAGAAATTCATTATTCCCTCTATTGTTAAGGGTAAACTTGTCATTTAGTTGATTAAAAAGTGCAATTATTACACAATTCTAAAATGGTGTGCCTTTTCATCATGGACTTTTATTTTGGGATGAAATGAGTGCTATGCATTGTCAAATTTCGGTTTACATGGGAATTTAAATGAATTACTAGAAAGAGGTGTTACCTCATTTGCATCCTTGTAACAGCCGAACTCATCTTTCTTTGGCCATGTTACAAGCCAACATCTGGAAAAGAATTGAAAAGATGATAAGATACTATATAATCATCTTGTCATTGCCGTTCCCAACAGGGCGTTCAAGAAAAGGGCAAATTGCATGAAAATGTAGCGTACTTTGGTTTCATTCTTATCTTGTGTAACATACTTCCGAAACATTCATATTAATACATTAGATGTGATATTTCAAACATCTAGACGGAGATACATTACACAAAAGCAGAATTAAACCAAAGTATGTTGCATTTTCGTGCATTCTCAGACATATATTAGGTATCAAAATGTTTGAGACGTCATATCTAAGGTACTAAAGTAGAGGTTTTAGAAGTATGTTGCTTTTTCGTGCATTCTCAGACATAAATAAGGTATCCTAATTGTTTGAGATGTCATATCTAAGGTACCAAACTACATGAAATTTCATGCAATTTCCCTTAGGAGAATGAATGAGATATCGGAAGGAAACACATGAAAGACAAAGGTAAAGCCAAAGAAAAACAAGAAAGCAAAAATTGTTGTATAGATGCATAATGTTCTTGATACAAAATCTGTTGACGACAAACAAAATATCACCAAATTTAATAAATTTATCGGCGTTCTTCAACGAAGATCATATATAAATGCAAATGACTTGCTAAGTCAAAGCTACATGTCCCTTATCTTGTTTTGCTAGCTCTTCTTTGCAACCAGTTATCTGAATTACTCATTTATGGATGTCTTGGATCTCTCTAGTTTTCACAAACCTGTCAAAAGATTTATTGTTTTTCCCCAACTGTTGGAGTCCCACCTCGGCCAGACACAGACCACCAAACCTAAATATATGTAGGAGCCTCCCCTCTACGTTAGGGCTCTTTAGAGAGATTCAAAGGGGTTCTTAATATCTTCTAATGGTATCAGAGCCAGATCTAACACAACCTAGGGACTTGACACACTTTTTCGCCTCCCTTTGATGGAGTCCACATCTGTTAGACAAAGACCATTAAACCTATATATATGTGGAACATCCTCTCTCTGTAAGGGCTCTTCTAAAAAAGAGATTCAAAGGGGTTTCATATATCCTCACATGGTATCAGAGCCAAGGTCTAGCACCATCTACACACTCTTTCAACCCCCTTTGAGGGAGCGTGTTAGAGTCCCCTATCAGCTAAAAACAAACCATCGAACCTGTATATACATAGGAACTTCCACTCTCTCTATAAGGGCTCTTTTAGAGAGAGACTCAAAAGGGTTCCACATATCCTCACACCAACAATGGTAAAAAAAGGGAAAACTTTGTGATATGGGCAAAAACATGTGAGTTGTGACCTTGCATTAGAAGGAGAGAAGCCTCTAGGGATTTAGAAATAACCTATACGTTCATCTACTTGATGTGTGTTATACCCTAAGTTAAACAGTCAAAATAGTCAATAGTGGTAGTTTGGTCAAATGGTCCAGATTGATAGGCTGTGCTAGGAAAGTACAAGTGGGCAATGCATGGGTAGTAAGTAGGTGGTATCAAGTATAAATAAGGGGTTTTGGAGTAAGGGGGTTTCATTCTGATTTTGTGTCATATTGGACTCAAGTCCTTAGGAGAGCTTCTGGCCTCTCGAAAGCCAGGAAACACCTTTTGTAATCGTTTAGTTGTTAATAGTTGACATCAGTCTTACTACTGATTCTGTTACCATGGGTGACTAAGTTACATGAAGAGGTCAAGGGCCAATGACCTAGTGACATCCGGGTTACTGGTAGATCCCAATCTCATTTACACATATTAGTTTTCTCAAAATATACTTGAAAAAAGATAATCATTAAAAAACATGTTGAAGTTTGTTGAGGCTACATCATAGTTTGTAGTACTTTCAAGATTTCATCATCGAACCATTATTGTCATAACATTCCATCATCGACCATGTTGTCATCAAAACTCTAAAAGCGTTGTCAAGAACAAACTATGGTTTCCTTGAGGAAACTTAAGAAAATTATAGAAGAGAAAAGTAAAAAAAAAACAAAATCCCAAAATCCCAACAAAAATAAGAAGAAATRCATATCTGAATTAGTCTTGTCGAATAAACTTAAAAATAGATTTGTTGAAAAAGAATAAAATTTATGAAATAGAAAACAATTAAGTGATAGAGATGGAGAAAAAAAGATTGAATGATGAACAATTCATGAAAAAGAGCTAAGAAAAATGAAAGGATTGTGTTAAATGAAAAATCTTTATAGAAATTAGAATGAAAATTAGAAAAAAAAAGATTAAAATAAGGATAAATGAGAAAAAAGATAATTTCTAACCTTTWGGAGAAATCATGTCATCAATCTTGATTTTTCCTTTGTGAGAATATTTTTAAGAACATAATCAATTGTTTCTTGATAGMAATTTATGTCAAACTATATCAAGAGGAAGAGATTGAGAAATAAAGAGGTGAAGAGATAAAAAGTTGGAGAAGGTAAATCAATTGCAATAATAAATAAAATAAATGTCTATTAAGAAGAAGTTGAATAGTCTAGGGGGTTAAACTTATCTTGAATGCTTATTAAAAAGTTGAATAATTTGGGAGGTTAAACTTAGTTGGATGCAAAATTACCAAATGATCTCATCTATTATGAAATATACAATTTGCTTGTAGGGGCATAATAGTCTTTAACTTAATTAATATTTTAAAAAACAAAAAAAAGGAGAAAAAAGATAAATAAGCTCCTAGCTTTTAGAAGAGGCCACATCATACATAGTGGTTTCTTCTTTAATATATATATAGATTATATACTTCACAAATAAAGTTACATGATTGAGCATCTTTAGAGGAAGTCACCACCACTGATGTAGTATTCTCTCCAAAGGCTAATGTAAATATCAAAATGAGCAAAAAATGGCTTTGTTATATAACCTTTCCTTTCCAAGGCAGCATGAAAGTTCTTCAGCTAAGGCTCGACCAGGTCCATCACCATCTGTTGCCAATACAATTTGAGATGCCTACAGAAAAACATAGAAGAAAAACGTAAACCATCATCATGGCAGCATAGACTAACATAAATGAAAACAAAAGAACAAGATCACATACCTTATCAAGATACCCTTTGCAGTTTAATAGATACTTGTATCTTGTGTCCTAGTTGTAGAAATAATGATAAACAATTTAATAGATAAGCAGATTAATATACAATTGAATAGAGCAAGCTTTAGATTCATAACAGAAAAAACATCGAACGATTTGTCATTAACTAGGTATTTGAGTGACTGTGGTTAGGATAGATAATTTGTTCACTGCCAAGAGTTCCACTAAGTGGCCATCTACTAACACAAATTGGGTAAGCGCTAATCCGGTAACAGTGTTGTTTGGGTCAACACTAATCACTGAGCAAGTAAGAGTCCCTCCCCTAGCTTACCAGGTCAGCATCTCAGTCAGTGTTATGGACGGGTAGGAGGGTCTTGGTTAACAGCAGCATCTCTGAGCAAAAAGGAGTCCTTCTAGGATATTCTTGATCTCATTGCTCCATCTTGAGGAGTGTTAGCATAGGTTAAAAGTGTCATTATACTTAACTTTTGTTGGTATCTCACTAATTAGGTTTATCTATCTTAGCCCACAGCCCACAATGCACTCTATATATAAATAAGCATCTTTCGTCAATATAAAACATGCTTTTTCGGAAGCCCAGTTTTCTCCAATGATCTTCTAATCATAGAAATAATGTGACCTTCACTCGAGGTAACCTCTTTTTTGTCATTCAAATTTGTCCTTTTCACCTCTGATGCCGAAGGGAACCTCTTCTTAGAATAGAGATGAGAACATTCTAGAGTACTCCCTCTATCCCAGAAAACAAGTCTAGATTTGATCTTTGTTTCAAATGAGTTGCTTTTTAATCATCAATTTGATAAAAGTTGATCTGGTTCAAGCCAAATATTAGGCAACTAAAAATGCATGAAAATAATAACAAATTGAGTTGCAAAGCCAAAGGCATTCTTAACGTTGGAAATTACTAGGTTCAAATTCCAAATCTAAAAATACATTCCTTTCATAACTGCATAAACAGATAAATCAGGGTCAATATAAACCTGTTTTTTAGATGGCAATGATGTTGACACTTGTTGGGGTGCACCATCGGGAACACTAACACAATTTAGTATTCCAGCCTGTTCCATTGACAGCTTATCGATTTCCCCCTCGACCTACTATCAGCATTGGAATATATCCATCACACAAATATAGATAGCCATGGAAGTAGCTATAACATAAGAGATGAAATTTGTCAAGAGTTATTACTATAATAATTTCATTTCCTTCCTTTATGCCATCAACTCCATATAATATCCTTTCTCCATGCTTCGCCTGATATTTATACCAGAAATCCATTTATCTTTTTGCATATAAAAGTTAACAATAAAGCATCATCAAAAGAAAAATGATAACGACTTCACATAAAAACAGGCATATAGAACGATGGAAAAGAACCAATCAAGAATGTTACCCATTTTGTGCACTATGAACCATGTTTCAAAATGACGGAATAATTCAAATAATTTTATAGCAGGTCACACATGCCAATTACCATGGTACTGATGCAGCATATACCAATGAAAACACAGATTACCTCGTTGATTCTAAGAATACCCCGAGGCTAATCTCTTCTAAGATTCATTAGCGAACCTAGGCTTCAAATGCGAATTCGCAAGAACTCAAAATTTGGGATAAAATCAAAGTTTATGGAAACACCATCCAGATTACACAAGACGCATGCAACTAGGAAGCCCAAAAACAAAACGGGCCTGAAAAAGACCATGGGCCAAACAAAAAAGCCCAACAAAAATGCCAAAAAGGAGTAAAAAACACAAAAATGTCCAAAAACCAGCGTTTTCGGGGTTCAAAAGTCGGTTGGGCCTAACCACAGCATGCTCCTCGCTCCAGGCTTCAAATTGACTGGTTGTGGGCCTGAAACGGACACTTGGAGCGAGTTATGGCTTTTTAAGCGCAACCCCGATCATGGGCCTCCAAGAACAATATGGCTCGGTCCTCCCCGCCCAGGCCCGCATCAGTACCCTCAAGTTCTGATAGTGGCTCAGCAAAACAGTCAAAACTAGAAAGAGGATAAGAAAAATACATTTTGCTAAATCCCAACCTGCCAAAACTTTCTGCTTGTTATGCTGCGAAACTTACAGTTGACAAGCTCTCCATTCCTTCTATACGTATACGCTATCACGTTCTGTTCATGTTTTCAGACAACAAAACACATCATTATAGTTAAAGCAGGGGAATGCGAAAGATTTATAAGGGTACCGTAAAATAAGTGAAAAAGAAAATAGTAAGACTTGGATAGAAGAGGATGCTCTTAATTAACCAGTGGCAGTGGTAAGCAAATTTAAATAAAAGGTGGAATAAACCAAAGATGCAAAAAGTCATCAATCCGTACTAAACATCTGGAAGCGACATAGTTACAAGCATTTATGGTGATATGCCAGTACATACCTTATCATCAATTGTTTGCATAACATAATTTTTCTCCAAAATTTCTGGAGATATCATTCGCTCAGCAAAGTAGTCTATCAGCTGAAACATGTAATAAGAAAATATCATTCCATTGAATACATTTTTCCAAGGGGGACGATATCATTCCCAGAGATGGTATTGCAATTGTTGAAACAACCACCAGAAGTTTCGATTCCCCCAGTCCCTTGGCGACCCAAACCACAATGCCATCCTTCGATTCCAACAACCAGCCATACATTGCCAGTTCGAACATCATGCGTCTAAACAAAAAGAATAGAGAAGAGCAGTTTTGGGATTTTATAAATCAACCCAAGTTATATGAGAGTAATCAACCCAGAGTAACAAAATATTTGAAAATGAAGATAGACTCGACAGAAAGAATATCCCTAAGAATGAGCATAGCAACTGATAAATAGTAGTCACATAACCATATGATAAAGAGGTAGGGAACAAGTGGTGAGTTTTTCCGACTGATGCAACTCAAACAGAAAATTGAAAACTGGGGAAACTCCTCAACTAAAATCATGTCATTTTATGAAGAACAGATGATCAGGGACGATGTTTGGTTACTTGACTAAGCCATACGAGGAATTCTGAAAAGCATGGAACAAGTGGAAGGTAAATTATGTGCGACATGAGTAGAAACAATACCATGATGGAACAACAGAAACCATTGGTTGATGTAAAAGAAGGAAGAGGCTGTTATAGAAGATACAATATTCATAACCCCAGTCATACAACCGCAAGCATGTGAATCAATAATCCGTGATGAAACAAATCTAGAAGGATAAACAAAAAAATATATATGTGCTATATTATATTAGAGCATCTCCAACAGATTCTCTAAAATAGAGAAAACGTTTGTTCTCTATTCTAATCCAACAGATTCTCTATATAGTTCTCTAAAATAGAGAAAGCTCCAAGTTTAGAGAATTCTCTAGAACTTGATGTGTGGCGAGAAAATGGATTTTCTATATTCGTTCCCACCAATGAGATTGGATTATTATTATTTTATATAAAAATCTTTTTAAAAAGTGTATTAGGATGATAAATTTATAGAATATTTTAATAATATACTTGATGTTGAAATCTCTAAAATAGAGAATCTGTTGAAGTTAAATGTATAATTTTTAGAGATTTTGACTTTTGGTTCTCTATTTCTAGAGAAATTATAAAGAATCTGCATCTCCTCTTAGCACTAGTAGAAGGTTGCGCCTGAATGGAACTTCAACATTAGAGTAAGGGGACATTCTCATTGAATTATCTCCAAATGATAAATGCACAACTGAAAAAGTTATTAAGCACAAGGAGGACATCATGTAGCTGACAGAGACTCCTGGTGGAAAGTGTTCAATTGGATATATACTGTGAAGCAAAATCCTGATAGATCCCTTCTTTTTGTGGGTAAAGAACATGTAATTGATCTTGTTGGTTGGGTTGGCAATGAAAACAGAGGCCTCCATTCAGTTACAAGCAACAATGGGATCAGACATGCTGATTACATTACCGACTGACAGGAATGAAAGCAATAGAACGATTACAAGGGACAACAAAAGCTGGCAGGCTAGTGGGAGGCTGGCAAAGGTTATAAGACCCTTTAATGGGCTTTCTTAAGGATGGCAATGTGCACAAACAACTGTCTGCCACCAGCAACCAATTTGGTGGCTTACAAAGACAAATTAGCTGCTATAGGCAGGCGTTTTTAGCAAGCGGCTAGGGGGTCAAGTCTTGACCCTCATACCATCTATGTATTTAGGATTTAAATTAATAGTTTCTCACAAGGAAAACCACTCCAAGATGGGTTTGTGGTCAAGAATAATAAGATAAGATAAGATAAGATAAAAAGAAACTCTTTTTAATAGGATATAACAAACCTGACAGAGCTATGTATATAACATTCCAAACCATTTGATCTCGTTTGATGGACAAAGAGCTTAAGAACTAAGTTGTTCAAACTAGTACAATATTAATCGTGTTAAAGAATAGTAGGAGACAGATATTAAGAGGTTATTCTAAAAATTACACTCCACTTTGCATATCCTCATAGATTTTTTGTAGAAACACATGTATACATGATTCCAATCTATCCCTAGCCTAATAGTAAAGTTCTCCCATCCTTGTGTTACAGTCTTGAGTCTCATTCCCTCCCCATTTGGCAAATGAAAGAAAGACACGTCATTGAATAAATTGTTGCAAAGAAAGCAACTCCATGACATAAAGAGCTTATACTACAGAATTATCTATCTAAATGAAGTACCTCATCACCTAGCGGCTCTAACCGCAAGTTCTCTTCAGTCATTTTTTTAGGAAAGTTAGCTTGATTAACTCTGTGGACTCCATCTTGTGCACGCCCTACATCTGCCAAAACCTGCAATAGGATTATATACCTGACAAGTAATTAAATCTGCAATATCTAGTAAACAAAGTGAAGAAATGAAATTTCAAGTATGCATACATGACCAGCCCATCCACATTCAAAATTAAAGCATCTCCACATTGCAACTTTCCTGAATATAAGGAGGAACAATAAGTTCTTTCAGAAGTCTGAGACAGTAGATAAGCATGGAATCAAATACACTTCATTCCCATAAAAAAGTTCCACTTCATTTTCATGTTAAACAAAGTAACTTCAAAATACATTATTCTATTTGAAGCACTTGCTACAAAGTCAATATGGTACTGCAATTTTTTCTCCAAAAAATTAAAACCCACATCAGTTTTGAAGTACAAAAGCAAGTTGTTTGGCACCTAAGGTCAAAAGTAAAGCTCTTTTTTACTTTCCTTTTCTGGAAAGGAGGTTGTACAAAGAAACCACTTACTCATTTTGGTTTATGTGGAATGATAGACTCCTCTCCTTGGACTCCCCACCTTTGCACTGTTTGAAGAGAACGTAATGCCATAAACAGCTGACTCTTGAATCAAAGTAATAGAACAAAGTCGATGGATATGATCCCTCTCTCCCACATTAGAGTTATATGTCAATCTTTCTCATCAATCCCACTATTTTTTGGATTAATAAGAATGTGGGCTTCCTTATTTTCCTCAAAACTGATGCAAACATGTAAGTTCAAATCCAAAAACTTTCCCAATATGACCTAAAAGGTGAAATTACCAACTCCATATTGGCAACTTAAGATGGAGAGCAGAAAAATCCCATGTAACAGCGACAATGAGAGGAAAGCTAAATGAATCAATATACATACCAATGGACAAATTAGGTGAGTGTATTGGCCAGGGGTACAAGAATCCCAGTTTATCCCAATATTCTCAACCTTCTGCTTTAAAGCTTTACCTCCTAGCCCTCCTTCATACAAATCAAGTACCTCCTCATCCTCTTTAAGTTTCGCTAAATTCACTTGTCAACCAATTCAGCAAATAATCAAAATTACAACGAGATAAGGGAAACAGTGAAGACTAAGACAACAATAACTTAAAAACCTGAAAGTTTTTTAGGATGTGGCTGACGGGAAGAGAAGAAGATGAAACGTGGAAGCAAGAACATAGGTTGTGCCTGAAATCGGTGGGGGTCGCACTTGCAATTTGACGTTTGAATCGAATGGAACAAGCCTTGCTGTGGTGAAATCATTTGGTTGGCAAGAACGAATGCTGGCTGATTTTCACCTTCTGACACATACAACTGAAGATAAGGAGCATTAGCGGGAAATTTTGTTCAATCAACTACAAAGGCTGTACAATTTTATTATAAGTGGGGTGGGTTTGGGGTTGTTTATCTATGCTTCTTCTTTCTTGAATTGTTTGGAGTTCTATAAAAAATAATTGGATTAGTTTATAATCGTATCCAATTAACCCATGATCATCAAAATATTAATTTTAAACCTCCAAAACAAATGACATATAAACTTTAGTTTAAAACCACAAAAAATGTTCAAACAGTCTGACCCAATAAAATCAACACAACCAAAGTTATTAATTAGTTACAATCTGAATAAACCTAAACCAATTGGGACATAACATAACTACCCGGAATGATTAAAATATACATACATGCCACAATATTACAAGAAAAAAAAATCACAAATCATGTACCAAAAGTTAGATCAAGTTCTTCGACTTCAACCGAGTCAATTACTTCACGGGATCATTTCCTTTGTCTAATTCTTTTCCTGAAAAAAAAAAAGTTGGAGAATTCGGATTAAGCATCGGGCTTAGTAACAAAGAATATTAGCATTACATACATATATATACGGTAAAAAAACAAACCGAAGACATGCTCAATAGAAGAAACCGTTCATCCATATACATACCAAGACATACCGTAATAAATCAACAATAATGATTCCAATTATCAATTTCTGATAATCCAATCATATCAACGATGTCATACCGTAAACACGTTCCAAATATTAGTCATAGAAAAAACAATTATCCCTCACAAGAGTTTCATAGAAATCAATCATAACAAACGTATCAACATATCATATATTAACAATACATCAAACATAATGCATAGGACTAATAGGGACCTACAATCATCATCCGGGTATTCCTGAGCCCCTATGCATAACCAAATAGAATACCAAAGACTAGCAAGGACCTGCCTTCATCTCCCACGTATGCCCGAGTCCCTTACTCATGCCCCTCCGAACCATTGGACAATGAGTATAACACAAGAATGTCTCACCGGCTCCCCCTCTTCACCCAGGCTGTTGACATCCACCGTTGCTTCCGACATACCACACGAAGTAGTACTTATACTCCCAGCATAACAAAGAAACCAAAGAAACAAAACCAACAAAATTCGGATCCAAAACCGACCGACAATGCAGAGGAATCTCAATCTGAAGACCAACGTACAGATTGACCAAAGACCAAACCATCAAACTTAGAGGACATCCAAATCATGTAAACATAGAAGATATACATATATACACATAATACAATATAATTTGAATAAACATTTAACCCACCGAGCTTTTAGCGTTACCAAAGGAAAGCTATAATGAAGGTTACGTCCCAACCTCATGTTTACACACTAAGATACCTTCCAGAAGCACCAAACAAGCTCCAAATATCCCCTAGAGTATGTACATTAAGTTTTGTTAGACCCCATAATTCTTATGTGTAAAAGTAATGAAGAACAAGTGATGAAGAACCAGAAGGCCGGTGGAAGACTTCAAGGCAAAACAGCTAAGTCCTCAATACAACTAGAGGGTCGATGAATCGACCAGAGGTGCGATGAATCATGCATCTTCATAGCCCCTCTGGTTACCAACACTTGGAGTTTTCTACAACAGCTCAACCAGAGGCATGCGATGAAGATATCAAGATAAGGTTGAATAATGCCCCATGGAAGACAGCTGGAGATGACGAATCGACAGCTGGATTCTACAAAGTTTTATCTTGTTTTACTTATTATCCATGTCTAGATAAGCTTTATCTTTCTCTAGAAGATTTGCTAGATAGTCTCTCTAGTAGTTATCTTCTTGTTTAGCTTTCTAGTATAAATAGGTGTTAGGCCTATTGTAATCGGAGAACGCTTTTACTATCATTTTGGAATAAAGTGAATATTCCAGCACTCAAGTATATTCTTTGAATATTCATATTTTGTTCTTGAGTGTCCGTCATTTTATTCATTCACACGACATAATTTAATTATTCTTAATTTAATTATTAGTGTTATTGAGAGATCTGGGATCAACAATTGGTATCAGAGCCAATTGATTGTTCTTCAATCAAAACGATCATAAAAAAACTCTCAATTCGCTTTTTCCATTAATTCTAGAGTTCATAAAAATCTTCTCTAAAAAGCATAATTTTTCTCTTCCAAATCTTCATTGGCCAACTGGAATTCTGCTTATAGTGTTGGTTCTCTCACCAAACCTCCAACTCTTCAAAGAGAAGAGTATCCACAATAGAGAATAATAATGGTGAATTTTCTGGAGGGGATGGACAGGAATCTCTTCAGATCTGTCATGGAGGGTCCCTACATACCACAGACTCTTGTTCCAAGAGTCCCAGGAACGAGCACCACATCAGAAATACCAGCTTACTACATGCCCAAGGACGAGAAGAATTGGGATGAAGATGATATGGAGCACGTATAGACTGATAAAAATGCCAAAAGATTAATCATCATGGCCATTCCCAATGAAATCTTCCAATCCCTCGATGCATGCACCACAGCAAAGTAACTATGGGATGAGCTGGCAAGTCAATTAGAAGGAGGAGCAAAAACAAAGAGAATCGTAAAGCTCAATGTCTCAATGAGTATACCAACTTCAAGTCTCTTCCTGATGAACCAATTCAGAAGACGTACGATCGTTTCAACATATTGATCAATCAATGTCGACGAAACGACATCTCCAGGACGAAGGAAGAAAATAATGTGTTATTCCTTAAAAGTCTCGGCGATGAGTGGACGCAACTGTCGATGTCCCTCCAAGCAAATCAGGACTTAGACAGCTGGTCACTTCATGATATTTATGGAACACTTGCTGCACAAGAAAATGATATAATGAAGAGAAAAGTATCCATCGATGGACCCCTTGCTCTTGCTGCAGAAAAAAAGGATGTTTCAAGGACCTCCACCAGAGACCACAAGAAAAAAGGCAAGAAGGCACTTGTAGTAGAATCAGAATCGGAAGACGAGACATCCGAGTTAGATGATGATCTCAAAGCCTTTGCCAAGTCTCTGGCCTTGATCACAAAACAATTCCAGAGGAAGTTCATCAAAAAGCCATATGAGCGCAGAGACTCCAGAAGGGAGAAGTACCAGCCATCCTATGAAAAGAAGCCGTCAAAGTTCTATCAGAGGGAAGAAAGAAGAGAGGGAAGAGAAGAAAAAGAAGATAGAAGAGAGGAGAAAAGAGAAGACAAAGAAGAAAGGAAGAATGACCTTTGCTGCTTCAGATGCGGAAAATTCGGTCATTTTTCAAAAGAATGCAGAGGACGTCTAGTGAAGGATGCAAACTATTACAAGAATAAGTATAAATACAATTCTAAAGAGCGAAGTCTGATGGCTGAAAAAGAGAATCGGTGTCTGATTCTTCGTCTGATGAAGAAGACAAGGCACTCATTTGTCTCATGGCCACGTCCAATGCAGAATCCGCTTATGATTTTGATCAACATGTATGTGAGTCTTCCATTGATAAAACCAACTCTGCTCCATCAGAGCTAGAGTTAAGGGAGATGAAACTTTAAGAGGATTTCTTAAAGCTTAAGGAAAAATTAAATTTTGAAAAATCTGAAAGAATCAAAGCGAAAAAAGAAGTCAGTTTCTACAAAAGAGAGATTGATCTTCTAACCGAAGAAAAAGCTGAACTTGTTAAAGACAAGACTCGTATCGCCTCACTTAGAAAATCAGAGGAAGAAAAACTTTTGGATTTAAACAAGAAAATAACGAAGGACTTAGAAAAGAAGGTAAAGGCCTTAAAAGAATCCGAGGCAAAGAGGCTTAACTCAGTAGCTCTCAAAGATTTCTTTCAAAAGGAAAGGGAGATTCTTCATTAGAAGCTTCAAACCAATGAACTTCTGATGAAGAAATATAAGGATGCCCAAAACGTCTATGAAAAACTTAACGGTCAAAAGAACACTCAAGGGATTGAATTCAATGAATTGGACTATTTCATCGAAACAAAGAAATCCACCCTTGAATCTACTTTCAAACTTGGATGCGTTCAAAAATGCAACTTTTTCTCAAAACCCAAAGCAAATTTCAAAAGGGTTAAAGTCGATGGAAAAACTGTCCTCTTAAGACAGGATTTTGAAAATGTGGTGTACGAGAACAACACAAGTAAGAATTTTGATGAAGGGAATGATGCCTCCACACCAGAGACTGATGAAAACCCTATGGTTAAACCAGAGTCTCTGGTCATCAATCCCACTTCATCAGCAAGTGCTATTGATGAGAAAGATAATCTTAGTAAGGAACCGTCATCTGATGAATCAATGAACCATCCAAGTAATATTGGAAGTTCATCTAAGTCAGAAATGATGGAACCCCCAACAAATCACTCTCAACCATCAACCTCTGAACCTATTCCTCCCACAAACATCCATGACAATTTTGATTTCGAGAAATCTGTGAGAGATTTTCTTGACTCTGAATCTGAAGAAGAAATAATATGTGAATCATTAGAGGTCATTGAGGATAAGAAGCCTCAAAACTTCAAACCCTCAATGAAATCTGATGTTCCAGCATCTATAAAAACTTCAGACAAAGGAAAAGGAAAGCTGAGTAACACCAAGTGCGCCATTGATACCTCACAAGGCCCATATACTTCATCTAAGTTCATTAAGTTTACTCACGCGCAAAAACGGAAGTGACCTACCTCTGAAAATTCTAACCACCACTTTTCTTCTCATTCAGCTAAAACAAGCAGCCCTCCCTCAGGAAAGGAGTAAAGACCAAGCCTTCTACAAATAAAAAATCTGAACTAGATAGGAAGTTTGTAAAAACAACCGATGCTAGAATATGATTTACATCCCCTGTATTTACTTCTTCATTTTCAACGAATAAAAAGAAAGTTAAACATTCATGTTCAAAATATCCTAACTATCAATGTTTAGCACTTTTACAAAACCTGAGGAACCATATGTTAACCCACCGCTGCATATTTTCCAAACACGTCTATCGCTATAATGTTCAAACTAGTGAAAACGTGAAAAATCCCAAGTCTAAGGGAAAGGGAAATGCTAACAGACCTAAGCCCACAAAGGCTAAGGG